TGGAGTCTCTTAATGATAATCATGCTAACATACACCGATGGAGGCGCCGTGTGCCCAGCATGCCCCTCTCTCATCGCGTTCCTGTTCCACTGGACCCCAGGGTGTGCGGGGCTAGTGCCCAGCTCCCACCCACAGCCTCATGGGATGGCGAAGAATTCAGCCCTAAGCCAGATTGCTGCGGGTCCACTGAAGGTGAGAAGATAAAGCCTCTTGACAGGTCAGGGTGCCTGATTAAGCAACCCTCCACCCCCACCCCCAAGCTAGTAGAGTTTTAAGCCAAGAATAGACAGGGGCAGTTTATCAGACCGATGCTCACTGTGACCAGGCCGGGAATGGGCCTCCCAAGTCCTCCCACACAGTGCGTCCAGGAGCAGGGAGACTGGGGAGCTGCAGGTGTGCCTGACCCTGAGAGGTAGAAAAGTATCTTCTGATGCCCACTCCCACGTCCCCAGGCCAGGTGGGAAGGGCGCCCTCCTACCTCCCTGGGAAGCCCAAAGACAAATGCTTGCTATGGTGAGAGATGGTAAGAGGTCGTGAAGGGTCATGAGTTCTTCTACCTTGCGGTGGGCTGTGGTCCCAGCGGTGACGGGAACGGGGAGTTACTGTTCCCTCTCCAGCCTCTGTTAAAAGCATCCAGAGAACAGCATGGCTGCGTCCTGCCCAGCCACTCGTTGTTTGGACCCCTGAGCTCCTTGAGAGTGAGAAGTGAGAAAGCCTGACCCAGACCTGGGGAGATGCGTGACACAGCATTTATGGCCAGCCCACCACTGGTCCTATGGCTGTTAAGGAGCCCGTCACATTCTATTCAGTTGACTGGAGTAGCTGGTGGCAGTTACCTGCAAGGAAAGTCACACTAGAGAAGAGACAAATTTGAGAATAGTAGATGCGACAGAAAAGTGATTGAAGACCAGAAATATAGTCAAATCCAACCGATAATTTAATTGACATGGGACTTTGCACAGCATGCTGAGGACATGACCGTGGTGACAATGATGTATGTTCAATAGCAAAACTTGACTGGGTGGTGGCTCTCGCCTGTAATCCCAACAATTTGGGAGGCTGAGATGGGAGGATTGCTTGAGCCCAGGAGTTTGAGGCCAGCCTGGTCAATGTAGCAAGACTTTGTCTCTACAAAAAATAAAACAGTTACTCAGATGTGGTGGCATGTGCCTGTAGTCCCAGCTTCCTGGGAGGCTGAGGTACAAGGATCACCTGAGCTCAGGAAGTAGAGGCCATGGTAAGCCATGATTGTGCCACTGCACTCCAGCCTGGGTGAGAGTGAGATGCCAACACAAAAAAATAATAATAATAAAATAAGTAAAACGGGGGGTCTAGAACACTGACATCAACTGATGTGTTTCAGAACTGTATCTGTGGGTTCAGGATAGAGAGAGGTGATCCCTAAAACGTATGATCTTGAGGTTACTGAGTTTACTGTCTCAAATAGCTGGTTGATGTGAGAGGTCAGGGAAGGAAAACCAGATACAACTGACCCTTGAACAGCAGGGGCTTAACCACATGGATCCCTTATGTGTGGACTGTCTTCTGCCTCAGCCACTCTGACTAGCCCCACCCCCAGCCCACTCAAAGCCCACTCAACGAGAAGATCGTGAGGATGGAGGCCTTGATGATGACACACTTCCACCTAATGAACACTGAGTATATATTCTCTCCTTCACGATTGGTGGGCATAGCTGAGGAGGCTGGGGGTGGAGTCGGAGTCCCCAGGCTGGAGTGCAGTGGCCACTGTAGCCTCAAACTGCTGGGCTCAGGTGATCCTTCCACCTCAGCCTTCCAAGTAGCTGGAACCACAGGCACATGTCCCCACACCTGGCTAATTTTTTGATTTATTGTAGAGACGAGATCTCGCTAAGTTGCCCAGGTTAATCTTGACTCCCTGAACTCAGGCAATCCTCTTGCCTCTGCCTCCTGAAGTGCTGGGATTACAGATGTAAGCCACAGCACCCGGCATGATTGTCTTAATAACATTTTCTTTAGCTTACTTTATTGTAAGAATGTATTCTTACATATACATATACAAAATATGTGTTAATCGACTATTTGCTATCAGTGAGGCATCCAGTCAACAGTAACTATTTAGTTAAGCTCTGGGAGCGTCAGAATTTATACAAGGAGTTTTGACTCATAGGGGCCACATCAGACCTGCATTGCTCAAGGGTGCCCCTGTTAGGGATTTAGAAATGAACTGATTTTTTTCTTATGTCATTTAATTCTCAAATCACAAGAAAACAGTCCTTGTCCCCATTTGGGTATGGTGATCCTCCCTCCACTAATCTAGAGTAAGTGTATATCGGGGTAATGGTTTTCCATTCTGACACCCCTAAAGACATTTCCAGAATACATAAAATATACACAGAGAACATTTTAATTACTACAATAAAACACTGGAAAGATTACATCCAGGCCCAGCTGAGGTGATGAGGGCCACTGACACACAGATTTGAGCTGAGTGAATGGAAGATGGTCCAGGCTGCGGTCTGAGGCTCTTTGAGGGTCGAGGGTCCGACCGCACAGCCACCTGGACCAACAGATATGACCCCAGAGAAGGCAGCTGCCACAGGGTGCTTGTGGTTGCTGCATTTACGACTGCCATGGAGTTACCAGTGGATAAGGTCAGAGCCAGTGATCAAAAAACACCAGGAAACTCGCCATGACTCTTAAAAATGTTCACCCTTCCTCATTAATGTAAGTTCTTGTTTTTTTGTTTTACTAAGGCATACAGGAACAATACTTAAGTGGACATTCTGAAAAACTTCAAACGGAAACCACACCACTACGCCATTCTCCCAGTGACCTCCTCGTCTCATGTGCTTGCATTTCTGTATTTTGATTCAAGTACTTTTACATGATATAGCAATAAATTGTGAAACATCCAGATCTAAAACTAAACCTGAATTTTAAAACAGGAAAAGCTAATTTATAACCCCATTTGATGACTTAGAGAACTTGTCAATAACTTTAAAATGTCTAAATATCTTCCTCTAATACTGGTCTGTTACTATGAAAGGCATGGGAGTTAAAAAACATTTAGGATGTTGTTGGGTGCTAGTCGTTTTAAAGTCCCCCCCCCCAGTATTAAGATAAGAAGAAGCAATGTCTACCCCCAACTAAATATTCCAATACGTCCTCTGGACTGTGTCACTTACAGCTCACGACAACCTTAGGAGAGAAATCTGGGAAAGTTTGCATTTTGCAAATGACAAAACTAAGGCTTATGCGGGCAGCCACACCACTAGCTTGGGCGGAAGGCGACCTATCTGACCAGGGGCAAGGATCCCAGAGCACACAGTTGCGGACACGCCAAGAGGTTTTAAGACCAAATTTCCGAGGGCCCCAGAGAGTTTATTTTTGTGGATTCTACCTATTATGTTAATTTTATTAGAAATTTAACATGACTTTAAACATGTTACATGTTAACATACTATTTTAACATGTTTTTAATAAAAATACTAATGTCTAAAACAAACAAGAGCTGCCAGGTGCGGTGCTTACACCTGTAATCCCACCACTTTGGGAGGCGGAGGCAATAAGGTTGCCTGAGCCCAGGAGTTCCTGACAACATGGTAAGACCTTGTCCCTACATAAAAAAATTAGCCAGGCGTGTTAGAGTGCGCCTGTCGTTCTAGCTACTTGGGAGGCTGAGGCCTGCGCCTGTCATTCTAGCTACTTGAGCCCACGAGGTCGAGGCTGCAGTGGCTGTGAACGTGCCACTGCACTCCAGACTGGGTGACAGTGAGGCTCCAACTCAAAAAAAAACAAAAACAAAAACAGAGCTGAGCGGTGGCCTACTGGGAGCCTGGGCTCCGCCTTGTACCATCACACTACGGTTGCGCCAGGAGGCATGGCACTGCAGGAGGGCACGACAGCAAGTGTCTCCATGTGACCATGGATGCAGACCCCAAAAGGCCCCAGGACCCCAGGTGTCCCGGAACAGCTGAGAAGGCTGCACTGTCGCTGTCTGCTGGTCACAGGAAGCCCCAAGTTCCCAAGTGGCTCTGTCGCCCTGGCCTTGGAAAGCACAGCTTAACGTTGGGCTCCTCCTTGGACAACCTGGAACAAAGTGAGGCAGAGGAAAAGGCAGGTCGCACAGAAAGAGGAAACTCGCCGCCTCCACCATGCAGGCCTCCGGACACACCGCTTGGTGAGCAGCTGGGGGCCTTAGTCATGCGGCAGGACCGTGTGCCATAGCCAGGGGCTCCCTTGTCTTGAGACTGAGCTCTCCTTTTTACGGTCATTGGCATCCACCATCTGAAATAGATCGGCAGGCGGCTCCACTCGGGGTGCGCCCAGCTTGGAGGCTCTGCAGACCTGCGCCTGCCCACCCGCGTGTCCTGGTGAGGCCCCAGACCATGTCCCTGCCGTCGGACGGTCTCACTGTAAAAGCCGGGACCGTGCCTGTCTCCAAGTTGTGGCCTCTTTGGGGCCAAGGACGCCAAGGCCCACTCTTCCAACGAGCATGCCTGGCCTCCATGACCTTTCAGTGGGGCACCAGCCTCCCCGGCCAACCCACTCCCTGCATGGAGGGCGTCCAGGCTGTAGCCATGGGCGCTGGGGTCATGCCAGCCGTACGGAGACATTCCCCACAACAGTGCACCAGGCCACCCACGTGAGAAGCACGCCCCTCCGCCACACCGCCCGAGAGGGCCGCCTCCTCCAGCGCCCACCACGCATGTGCCCCAGGTCCCTCCCCTGCAGGTACATCTACTGGGCGGGCTCCAGCCCCGCTGGGAGCTCTCCTCGCACCTGTCGCCTTGCAAGTACAGGCAGCCCCCACCGCAGACCTCTGCCTCCAGTCACCGACATCCTGAGGCCACCCCCTGCCGCACCCACCCGACTGTCTGCAGCCCTCTCATTTTTACAACGTGTACTCCATGGTATCATTGAGGAGAGACTGCATCTCTCTTTTTTTCTACAGAAAGACTGTCCAGTGCCTAAATTTTAATTATCACTTAAATAATATAAATTTGATTCAGAAAATGTTATTTTTCCAAGAGTGGATTTATTTCAAAATGGTAAAGATCTATATATTATTTTTATTACACACAATACTCAATTTTTAGCTTAGAATAGTTTCACATTTAAAGTTTTTTTAAAAGTCTTAAAAATGTAGACATTTAAAAAAGTCAAAAAAGCTGAATATATCCTGCAGCACAGGCTCACCCTTAAATATTCACATTTCAAAAGCTGTTTTTGAAAAGATTTAAAAACTGGCAAAAAATAATTTACAACTGGTGATGATTAAAAATCTTATTTTTGGATGAGGATATTAATGACACGTATGGATTTAAAGTTACAAGCATTTAACAGTTTAATCAAGCATGCAGTTTTTACAAGTACACAAAATGGTCTTAGTACAAAATGGTCTTAGTACAAAATGGTCTTAAACTGTCACTGCAGTTGTTTGGGAGTGATTATTTTATCGCAAAAAGCACACTTCACCAAAAACAGTATTGACATTCAAATGTTCTTTTCCACGAATGTTTGACTTTCAACTTAGGACAGAAGAACAGCATTTAATAACTGCATCCCTGGTAGAAAGAAGCAGGGGAAGAACAGATTATAACAATAGTCTTTAAGAATAAATTTTGCAGAAAATGTTCCTGCCAAAGCACCTTTTTTACAGCAGAACTCAGTGGACTAACCAATACACTTTTTGATTAACTCTGCTGAGTATCAATTAATCAAGAGCTGAGACTTGGAAGTAGTTTGCTAACTTGTGAAATGGTAATTATCTTGTCTTTCCTAGCACATACACTGATCTTAATACAAAGAAATACATTTAAATACCAAAAATAACCTAACAAAAGAACTAATTTTTAGAAAGAACCAATAAACTGGATTTTAAAAGCACAATATGTATAACTGTATCTTAAAATTCCAAAAATATTAATGTGATAAACCTCATTCACCTTTCACATGCCCTTCCAAAATTTGGTACTTTTGTTCATTAAAAAACCTTTCCTGCCGGGCGCAGTGGCTCATGCCTGTATTCCCAGCACGTTGGGAGATGGAGGTAAGAGGGTTGCCTAAGCCCACAGGTTTGAGACCAGTCTGGGCAATTTGTCAAGACCTTATCTCTACAATAAATGAAAAAGTTAGCTGTGCGTGGTGGCGTGCACCTGTAGTTCCCAGCTACTTGGAAGGCTGAGGAGGAAGGATTGCCTGAGCCCAGCTGGTCGAGGATGCGGTAGCTATGAGCATGCCACTGCATGCTCCAACTCAAAAAAAAGCCTTTACCTTGGTTCTTAAAGATACCCACTAAGAAGGCATGAGACTGATTGGCAGGTTCTGCATGTTGTTCATGGGGAGAACTGGCCACTTCCAGAAGCCCTGGTCTCTACAAGCCTTTAGTTAAGGACATGAAGTCCAGTTGACCTTGCCTCTGTGCTGAGCCCTATGGCTCAGAACAGAATTTACTCCATTGTGCAGAACAGGCATACAATTCTCCCAGCTAAAGCTTCTCCGGCCTGATAAGTTACATGTTTGTTTTAAAAAGGAAAATACTAGGCCAAGTGTGTAATCCCAGCACTTTGGGAGGTGGAAGTGAGAGGATTGCCTGAACTCAGGTGTTTGAGACCAGCCTGTGCAACTTGGTGAGACCTTGTCTCTACAATAAATAAAAAATAAGCTGGACATGGTGTCACTTGCCTATAGTTCCAGCTACTTGGAAGGCTGAGGCGGAAGGACCACCTAAGCCCAGCAGGTCAAGGCTGCGGTGGCCATGAGTATGCCACTACATTCCAGCCTGGGTGACAGAGTGAGACACCAACTTAAAAAAAAAAGAAAGAAAATTAATGGGAAAATGAGATTTGATACATAAATATTTTTACCACACTCTTGTTCAAAAGTTTTCTCACCTGTAGTCAATTCTCTTTTTGCTTTTCTCCTTACAAGCATCTATCAGAAAGAATCACCCATTTGAAATGGGATAAAACAGAATTTCCAGCAATTTACTCCATTGTGCAGAACAGGCATACAATTCTGCTGGTTTTTAATACACAACTTAACTCTGGATTTTACAAAGAAGAAAAGCTATGCCTCACCAAGATCTTTTTCTGAATCAATCAGGTTTATGATTAGAATTAGTTTTGTTTGTTTTTCCTCCACAACTAAATACATACATTTCTCTCGAAAAATGAAAGAAAATGGCAGTTACCTCTTGACACACAACTAACATATTTTTGATGGTTAAAAACATTTACTAAGAAATCTCATTTTCCAAGTAATTTCCTTTTATTTTAAAAAAGTAGAATTTGTTTTACTGCAGTATCTACATCCGATTTACTGAATATTTACAGCCATGGAAGAGTCTAGAATCTCTTATCAAAATTCTCTAAAAGCATCATGGGCACAGTAGCTCATACCTGTAATCCCAGCACTTTGGAAGGCTGAGGTGGGAGGACAGCTTAAGGCCAAGAGTTGGAGACCACCTGGTCTCTATATATAAAAAAGAAAAAGACAAAAAGAATCCCTAACTGCAAATATTCGGGGAGTCAGGCAAGAGCAGCTTCCCACTGTAGCTGCTACATGTATTCAAAATGTTTCCATGTAGACACTGTGTGGCCAACATCTACTCATCTCATTGAAAGTCAAAGTCCATGAAAAAAAAGTCTTTGAAATAAAACATGTAAAAATTTAATGTAAAAAATATTTAAATTTTTATTTGTGGGAAGATAATTAAAGGACCAGAAGCAAGACAATTCAAACAAGCTTACCTTGCATATGGGATGTATGACAGGCTATACCTGCAAGAAAAATCCAAGTGTGTGAAACTCCATCTGCATGACGGTTTTCTTTATGCCAAGTGGCCATATTTCGTATTATAATAAACATAGCAGCATGACACCATACAGTGGTTCTCAAAGTGTGAACCTTACTAGAGGCAGCAGCATCACCTGGGGACTTATAAACATGCAAATTACTAGGCCCTACCCTAGGTTTGGAGAACAAGACTGTTTTAACAAGCAACTGTATTTTGGCCGGGGG